AACACTTGCAATTTGAAGAGCTTGTTTGAAGTCTCTCCATGTTCTCTGGTGCTGATGGAGTCACAGTGCTGAGGTGCTCCTTAGGCGTCACCATGCAGTACTTAACCTTCACTTTATTTAAAAAAGAAAATAATCAAATCCAGGGGTACTTTTTCAAGTGTTTTCATGGCTTGATCTTAGCAGTAAAGAACTAATTGTGCCATGTCATGAGCTATGCAGGAAACGGAGAAAATCAAGGCTGACAATCAAATTAGCAAAAATGAAAATTTAGTCCAGGTCTGTTTTTTTAATCAAAGTCATTTCAAGAGGAACAGGAAAGCTGTAAACCTTTCCCAAGGCAGAGGTTCCTTCCCCAGCCCAGGAGGCCCCTGCTGTCCCACTCAGTGCACCAGGCATTGGGTGGTTTGGTGCTGCTGCCACCCTGCTGCCTGGCCAGTCCGGGCACCGGGCACCGGGCTGGGCATTCCCAGCTGGCTGTGCCCCACGACAGCCCTGGGGACAGCTCCTGCTGCCCAGCAGCCACAGGACCTGCAGTGCAGCTGCCCCAGAGCCACATGAAGTGCTCTGGGGCTTTCATGAGCTTGGGCTCGTGCCTTGGGCAAGCAGAGCTGAGCCCTGTGCCCTGCCTGTGCCCCTGCCTGCACCTCTGTACTTCTCTGTGTGACACAAAGAAGTTGTGTGTGTGTTGGGTTGGTGTCTGCAGCTGGGGAGCACAGCTGGGACAGCTGCAGGTTCCCTGTTGCAGCTGGCTTGGCAGGAGCTGTCAGGAAAGGCTGCTTTGGCTTTGGCCCGGAGGTTTTGCCATCAGTGATGTGGTGTGGCTCCATATGGGCCTCGGTGTGCTGTAGCACAAAGAACCCTCACATTTACTGTTCAGGTTGCTGTTTAAATCTCTGTGTACAGAAATACAGCAATAGGAGGCTTAGCATCGTGGAGAGCTGGTTTGGTTTGAAAAGCTCACACCCTCTCTGGATGCATTGCAAACTGTTTGAAAGCATTTCTTCATGCTTCTGAGTGGTTCCCCTGTGCCGAGGGCACAGCGTGCCTGGTTTGTGCGGTGTCCAGGGCTGCAGCTCAGGGCTGCAGAGCCCACACCGGGGTGAGTGGTAGAGGCAGAGGGGCACGGCTGGGAGCCAGAGCTGTGTGCCTGGCAGGAGCTGCAGAGGGCACCAAGGGCGGGTGGCCTGGCCCCAGCCTGCCCTGGCTGGCACCACGCCGTGCCACCAGCTCCCCGTGGCTGCTCAGCCCCCAGGAAGCAGCACGTCCTGTCTGCTGCAGAGAGCAGTCCCTGTGCCCCAGGCTGGGCTCAGACTGCGCGTGGCTGTGCTCTCCTGCCTCAGTGGAATGGCCTTCAGAGCTCCCCTGAGCTGGGGGCCCACTGGGCTCAGTGGCTCTTGTGGTGGCTCCTGTGTTGCCCACACCTGACAGGGGCTCGTGGCTCCCCTCCAAGTGCTGCTGTGCCTGAGCTCTGTGCCAGCCCCCCATTCTCAATCTGCTTTCAGATTCCTCTGGTGCCATTTAGCTGAAAATCAAGTTTTCTCTAAGCAGGGGAGCTCTGCTGGTTTTATGGTGTTGCTGTAGGCTGGTTTATGAGATCCTCTTCTTGGTAAAGGATAAACACTCTGTTAGCATTCAGGTCTGGGGAAAATGGGAACAGTTCTGCAGCATTAGAGAAAGCCCTTTCTGAAATCTAAGGTCATTTAAATTTTAAAGGTGGTAGTAGTGCACTCAGTGTTGGGTTTTTTGTTGGTTTGGATTAACAGTTCTTCATTTTCAGTCGTGCAGGAAAACATTTTGTAAGGGATTTACTTATTTATTTAAATATTTTTAATATCAGAAATTGAAAATTCTAGTGTAAAAGGCTATGCAAAAACAGCAATAAAGAAATCCAAAGCTATAAAAGCTTATGGTGAGGACTTAATGCAGAAACAGCTGTTACTTCCTTGGGAGTTAAGGTGTATAAACTCTTCCGTGGCTGTGTATCCCCACAGTTGTGGTGTGAGGAATTAGCGCTCACTGCAGTGTGCAAGCGGCGCCTGCCAGGCTCTGAGGCAGCGATTCATCTGTACCCAGGAGTTAAATATGACAATGTTAGCATTTTTCATTTCCCTGACGTTACCATTAATAAAGCAATGATCCAAAAGAAGCTTTGCTGAGTCTGTTCTTTATGCTTCCATCACTCACAACTAGATAATTTCACACAGGATCGTTTTTAAATTAAATGACGATAAAAGCGCTCTGCTGTCCTGTGCTCACTAGTTCATAGAAGTCTATCAAGTCATTAATGTGTCATGACAAACTGTGAGTTGGATACAAGAGTAATTAATTATTTGCATAAATAACAGGTTGAACTTGGTGCTTTCAGCCGCAATGACACACGCGTCACATCGTGGGCATCCTGGAACCTCTGCAGAGGTCGCGGGAGGGTGAAGGCTGAGCTGGCACGCGGGTGATCCCACTCCCACACGGACAGCAGCTTGGAAGCTTTTGTGTTTCCAAGTTCTTCACTGATGGTTGCTTCAAGAGAGCATCTGATCTTTGGAGCGTTAGCGAACAATTATACAGATTTTCATAATCACCATTAATCACCACATATTTTTCAAGATAATTACAGCAACTATTATTTAGATTTCTCTTTTATGTGCACATTGTAGAAAAGAACAAGTGCTTATTACGCTGGGTAGTGTAGAGAACTACCGTCTGAAGTTCTTTGTCATCCAGAAACTCATTATGTAGCTGATGCTGCCTGTGAAAGTTCGTCAGCATGTTTAAATTAGGGTAGCATTGGCAGGTCTGATTATTTAAATCTGGTAGCTTGGCTAAAAATATAGTTATTCAAGAAAGATGAATTACTAATTTGACAACTGAGATTTAGTTGGAGTCTGCAGCACAGAAGGCAGCATCTCTCGAGTGCTTAGAGAAGGGTGACAATACTTTCACAGATTAAAGAGAGGATTTCTAAGCAAGCTAGCAAGTTGAATTACAGCGCGTGCTTTGGTGTCCTCCCCACTAGAGCCTGAGAGCAAGTCTTGGTAAATTACAGTGAGGAAGTAGCCACCAGGTGGAAGCTGGTTGTGTGTTCTGGTGGTCCTGCACCAATGAAGGGACATGTCCACTACACCCCACTGAGCATCCATCCCCTTCCTGCTGTCAGGGATGCACGGGAACTCTTCTCTGGGGCTAGGCTTTGCGAGGCTGGTTTTGGCTGCTGGCTCCTTTCAACTCTTTTAACTAATTTCAGTGCCTGAGTTAATTAGCTGTGACCCTCAGGAATGAGCTGATCCTGGGAGGCAGCAAACATTCATTGGAAACGGTTTTTCTTCTGAAATCCAGCTTTATTTTGTTCCATTTTGGGGGAGAGGAGCACACCCGTGAAGTCCTCGTGATTGTCAAAAAGCCCATCTTGGGCAGCAGCAGCAGTGGGTGTCTCATCCTGTGAGCAGGGGACCCCACAGGTGACATGGGGGCACAGAAGGGTCTGTCCTCTGTCCCCAGAGCATCTGCTTTGTTCAGGGCATTGCTCAGCCAGGGAGCAGATGCAAGGGGGGAGCGCTGCTCCCCCTGCCCCTTGTCTTGGGGGTCCCCTGCCTGCCTGCAGCCCCTTGGGTGGCCATGGGGCTCCTGGAGCCCGGCTGAGCCACGGGGTGAAGGGCTGGGGGCTGCTGCCCTGCTGGTGCTGGGGCAGGCAGTGGCAGCGGCCGCCCAGGCCTCCGTGTCTGTAAAGTGTCCAGAACTGGTGGTATTTAAACCCTGGTGACACCGGTGCCTGGCTGAGAAAGGAGAGGCTGAATGAGCACCTTGTGTTCTGCTTTCTGCCTTTAATGCACTTTAGCAGCAGGCTGGTGACGGGCCTGACACGGCAGCTCCGCACACGCTCCCGCTCGGGGAGTGCAGCATTAATAACACACTTCCATGCATCGTGCCATTTTTAAGCATGATCGTTATGATAAAGGGCATATACTTAATTACAGGCCTGCTTAATTACAGCTCTGTTGAAGCTCGTTTGTTTAGGAGAGTGCTAATTGCGCTGTGGAGCCCTTGGCTCACCCTGCTTTTATCTGCTGCTTTGCTGTGCTGCGCTGAGCCCCGGGTGGGCTCTGGGGCTGTGGGCACGTACACGCTCCCTAGCTCAGCCTTTAGATTACTTTACAGAGCTGGTGTGTGGCTGATCAAAGAGGGTTTCTGTCGGATAACAAGTGCAGATGGTCTTTCAGGTTTAAAACTTCCTGGATTTGGTGATGCTGCTTTTCATCTGTTTCCTTTTGTTTTCCTTTGGGCTGTGGCTGCCACGCAGCACCTTTGATAACAAAATTACTCCTGTGGAGGGGGGTTTTATATTGAAAATAGACAAACCAAATGTAAACGGCTGAGTATTTTTAAATGACCCTTGTTTAATCACTAACATGGTAACTCAGTGGTGCTGTAGAAGTTAGAAACAGCAGGCAGAGGAGCACTGGGTTTGTGGGTGCGGTGCTTTGGGGCAAACAGGGCTTTGAGTACCATTAAGGTTTTGCTACAGAAAAAGCTGTGCCATGTGGTGTCATATCCTCATGTCTGTCTTCATATTCCACTGGTTTACATCCTCCAGATGTGGTTTGCAAGTGTTTAAACCACTCCTCACTGTGGAGTTTACACTCGTAACCGCCAGGCCAGGTTTGGTGAGGAGGTGATAAATAGAAGTGTGTCCTTCCAGTTTCCAATACTGTCCTGCTTTGCCAGCTGCACAAAATTGGAAAATGCAAAATTGAGGCCATGAAATCATATATGGATAGAGCAAGGAGAATTTGTTGGATTCCTGGCTTGGTAGGGACTGACCCAGCTATGTCTTAAATGGAAAGAAGCCACTGGCAGTTTAGAGGGCGAAAAAGGCTGGCAGTAACGTTTGGGAGCAATCAGTCATGTGTCAGTGCTGTGAATACTTGATCTGTCACTGGGAATGTGTGGAGTTGCATGTCAGAAGGCAGCTGGAAACGTCACATGTGATGTCTTGTCCCTTTCAGCAATGGATGGAGTGCCTTTCATGATTTCGGAGAAGTTTGCCTGTGCTCCTGAAGGGGTGAGTTTGTTGTTCTCCAGTGTCTGAAATCCATCGTTTCATGGGGAGTGATCACAAAACATCAAGACAAATTACCTGCTTCTGGGAGCTATTCTGTTGTGGGGCCAAGTACATACCCAGTGCTTGAGATGGGCTGAGGTTGCATGTCACAATAGCTGCCCGTTAGATGGGAAAGGCTTTTGCCAGATTGCTTCTAAACCTGAATTGTCCTGGGATTTCAGGGTTTATTACCATCAAAAATAGGAATGGCAATGGGACTCCCAGGTGCTGAAAGCATTTCTAATTTCTTAGCATAGATTGTAAGGAAAGCTGCAGAGGTGGAGCTCTCCTGCATTTACCTGCTGTGAGGATGGCACAGTGCCAACAGCTTTACTGCTTCCTGTAGTCACTCCAGAAGTTCAGGGCAGTGGTGATGGCACAGTGCACTCCAGTGCCATCAGCTGCCACCAGGGTCCTGCCTGGCAGCAGGCGAGCTGGAGAGGGCACTGGGTGGTGCCTGCTCCACAGCGGGCACTGCCACCAGCACGGGCAGGGCACGTCTGCTTCACCAAACAGAAACACTGCTGCTGGTTCAGAATGACCTCTGGGTGCCACTGGACCAGTGCTTGTTAAGGTTGATGATCCAGAGCTCAAAGATTCAGCATCCCACTACCAGTTCCCAAATCCATCTGATCCTAAGCCGCATCTTTTTAAAAATCAATTTACAGGAAGCTGTTAAGGCAAACACTGGGCCATCAGCTGTGTCTGATTTTTCAGTAGTGCTCCAGCTTTCTGCTTTCTTCTTCCTGCTGACAGCGGTTTTTCACATCCCTTGCTTTCTGAGAGGGTTGTTTATGGGCCATTATTCCCAGAAATCTGAAGTCCCTGCTGTGAGGACAAATGCAGCGAGATTAGGCCGGGCTAATCCTCCCCGCGGATCCTTTAGACACCATTGCCACCATATGGTCAGTTTGGTCAGGCTCCCTGCAGCTGCTGCTGCTCACACCTCGTGCTGCAGCCGCAGAACCGAGGCTGTTGTGCAGTGGTGGGAGGCAGCTCTCCCTGCGAGGGCAGCTCCCAGGTGAGTGTCAGCTGTCGTGCGGAGGGAGAGCAGCCTTGGAGCTGGTAGCCCCAGCCCACCGCCTGCTGTTCCACTCTCCTGCTGGAATGAGGAACAGGATCCTGCCTGTGATTACAGATGGTGCCTCTAAATCTCTAGTGATGGAGTGTTTGCTGACTTGAAACAGAACAAAACAACAAACAAACACACACCCCCTCCCTGACCCTGAATTTGACATTTTTGTTTCTTTCTTGCCAGATGCAGCCGGTTGATCTCCTGGGCATCACAATCAAAACCCTTGCAGAAATTGAAAAGGAGGTAAGTAGCCAGCCAGGCACTGAGCAAATCATGAGGGCTGTGTTCACTTCTTTTCAAGAGCCCTTCCCTTATGGAAAAGACTTTCTTGTCTCTCCCAAGTCACAGAGGATGGATAAAATCAAGCAGTAAGCCCAGGGTCAGGGATGCCCTCCATGATCTGTGATGAGTGAAGACACTTCAGGTGGTGAATTTAATGGCAAAGTGTGGGGCCTTCTGTTTATTTCCAGATGTCTGTGTTGGCTAGCCTTTCTTTCTCACGTATTCACAATACATGGTAGTGGCAGAACACCCTTAGGTGCCTCTTGCGTGTCAGGGAGGCAGATGGACTTGACTCAGCAGTGTCAGGTAAACATCTTCATGAGTCTTTGGTTTGCAGATGCTGGAAGTTGTTGCTGGGAGAGCTGGGCTGCACTGAGTGGGAGTGAATGTTTGAGGAGCACAGGGAGGAGGCAGCCACCAAACAAGGGTGGTGCTGAGGGGTGTTCTGGCTCATGCATGACACGTGTGGCACGGTGCCGAGGAGCTGTGCTCTGCAAAGGTCGCTTCACATCTGAAGTCCCAGACTAGGAAGAAACTTGTCTCAGCAGCATATGCTTCTTCAGGCACCATTGGTCACAAAGGCCTCCTCCCACGCCATCTAGCTGGGTTCAAGGGAGAGAGACAGAAGATGACATCACAAAGCTGCCAGATTCTCCACTTCTTTATTCCAGTTGAGTGTAGTTGCCCAGATCCACCCTCTTCTGCCTGAAAGTTTTGTCTGAGTACAAGAAGATGGTCAGGCCCAGTTGCCAGGGCTTTTGCAGGCACCCTGTGGGACTGCAGGGGCTGCAGTGGTGGATCTGAAGATGCTGCCTGACAGGGGCAGGGGCTGACAGATGCACCACTGCCTCAGGCCACCTCTCTGGGACTGCCTGTGGCTGTCAGGAGGGACCCTGGGAGCAGGGGATGCTCAGGGCTGGCAGCCCTTCCACCTGCCTGGCTGCTTTCCCACCCTTGCCCTGAGCTGGCCAGGGAGCAGACGGAGCCTTTGGCCAAGGGGAATCCGTGTGGTGCTGAATTTTCGTCTGCATCATCTTTGTGTGCTGCCTGGCTGTGGGAGAGGTCTGGCAGCTTGGGGGCTGCCTGGAGGGGGCTGGGCTGCACAGCCCTGCTTGTGCCCTCGCAGGCTGGTGGAGCGTGGGGACAGCAGCACTGCCAGGGAGGAGAGGCCAAGACCTGCCTGCTCTCGCACAGCTCCTGCTCTGTAGCAGGCTGTGTGCGTTCCAGCGTAATGAAAAGTATGATTATGCAGCCCATATTCCTTGATGAAGCATCTTGTCTGCACATAGAGAGCTACACATATAAATATTGTGAATTTCGGCATGGCTTTATTTCCCTTGCAAGCAATAGCACCATTACAGCAAATCTTCTGGATATCCAAAGCAGCCAGAACATTCTCCCTGGAGCAAGATGCCTTGCAAAAAATATTCCCAAAGAATTCCAAGAATTACTGTTCTCTGTCACCACATTTGCAGATGTATGCACCCATCCTCCAAGCTGCAGGCAGCTGAATTTGAGGACTCTGCCCTGTCAGGAAAATGATGGAAATAGGTGCAAATCCTGGACTGCGCCAGGATGCTCTCGCTGCCCCAGGATGGCACAGCTGTGCCAGGGCTGTGCACAGGGAGCTGGGCTGTGGAGAGCTGGTGAAGTGCAGGTGTGAGCAGCACGTGCCATCACTTCATGGCTGATTTGGTGGGTGCAGGACAGACAGTGCTGCTGCCAGGTCTCCCAGCAGGGCTCTGGGGGTTTGTCCTTGCTAGCCCTGCCTGTCCTGGCAGGGTGGGGTCACTGAGCAGGCACCTGGGCAGGGGCAGGTGACAGGGCAGGTGGTGGCCCTGGCAGCATGCACCCTGTCTTCATTTGAGCTTGGCATGGTGTAAAAAGTCTAGAGAGTCTAATTAGTAAAGGGAGCATCCGATATTCATCATTCCTTTTAAACTGATAAGGAAGGCAGTTCATTTAACCACTGAATTGCTACAAGTTTTCATGGGCTGCTTTTTGCAAATATATTTAATGAAGAAGTTGTAAATCTAGAAGAGCTTAAAATTTTAATTTTACAGAGAAATATTTTTCCTTGTTTGCATGTTTGTAGTCAATTCTCCTGAGTGCAGTCACATGAAATGTTCTTTAAATGAACATATTTGCTAACTGGCATGATTTCAGATTTTAAAACATTGGTTCCAGCAATTAGGAGTTTCCTCAGTTCCCCAATGACTGGAGAGATTCGTCTTGATTATAATTGCTCTTAGCCACGCATATCTAATTTGTGTCTTTTTAAGTGTTAATTAGTAAACAGTTTGAGCTGACATCTTTATGCGTTTGGGTGTTGAAAAATGAGGCCTATTGCGTGCCAGCGGCTGCAGCATGGCGACAGGGAGGTGTGGCCCTGGGGAGCAAAGGCAGGGTACAGCCCCAGTACAGCCTGGGTACAGTAGAGTCTAATTAGTAAAGGGAGGATCTGATATTCATCATTCCTTTTAAACTGATAAGGAAGGCAGTTCATTTAACCACTGAATTGCTACAAGTTTTCATGGGCTGCTTTTTGCAAATATATTTAATGAAGAAGTTGTAAATCTAGAAGAGCTTAAAATTTTAATTTTACAGAGAAATATTTTTCCTTGTTTGCATGTTTGTAGTCAATTCTCCTGAGTGCAGTCACATGAAATGTTCTTTAAATGAACATATTTGCTAACTGGCATGATTTCAGATTTTAAAACATTGGTTCCAGCAATTAGGAGTTTCCTCAGTTCCCCAATGACTGGAGAGATTCGTCTTGATTATAATTGCTCTTAGCCACGCATATCTAATTTGTGTCTTTTTAAGTGTTAATTAGTAAACAGTTTGAGCTGACATCTTTATGCGTTTGGGTGTTGAAAAATGAGGCCTATTGCGTGCCAGCGGCTGCAGCATGGCGACAGGGAGGTGTGGCCCTGGGGAGCAAAGGCAGGGTACAGCCCCAGTACAGCCTGGGTACAGACCTGGTACAGCCCTGAGTACAGCCTGGGTACAGCACCAGTACAGCCCAGGTCCCAGTACAGCCCAGGTACAGCCCTGTGACAGCTCCTGGTACAGCCCGGGTACAGCTTGGGTACAGCACCAGTACAGCCCAGGTACAGTCCCTGGTACAGCATCAGTACAGCCCGGGTACAGCCCGGGTACAGTCCCTGGTACAGTCCCTGGTACAGCATCAGTACAGCCCTGTGCCAGCTCCCAGTACCTGTGACAGCTCCTAGTACAGCCCAGGTACAGCTCAGGTACAGACCAGATACAGCCCGGGTACAGTCCCTGGTACAGCTCTGGTACAGCCCCAGTACAGCCCGGGTACATCACTGGTGCAGCCCTGGTATCAGCCTGGGTACATCCCGTCCCGGAGCTCCGGGGTCCTCCCGAGCCGCACCGGGAGCAGCTCGCGCTGGGCGGGAGTGGCACAGCCCTGGCACGGCCCCTGCACGGCTGGCACGGCCCTGGGCCGGGTACCGGCACGGCCGATGGCTGCCCGGACCGCCTCGCTGGCAGCGCGTCCCGCGTCCCAGCCCGGCTGTGGGTGTTTGTGACATTCCAAGAGCCACAAACGCGGCACTGGGAGATGCACGGGAGGGCAGCCCGTGTCCGGGGCGGTGCAGTGGGTGTGCCCCGGTGGTGGCAGCCCCTGCCTCGGTAGCCCCAGCCCCGCACGGTGTTCCTTTCGCCGCCCCCCTGCCCCGGGAAGGGCTCCGGTGGCCGGGGGCCGGCGGTGCGCTCGCAGCGTGCCACGAGATGGCAGTGCTACCGTGCACGCCGGGCTGCCAGGCGTGTCCCCCAGCTGCAGTGACATCGTGGGGGCACAGCCATGTGTGTATAGGGATTTTCACCCTCTTGCCAACCAAAAATGTTATTTCTGGTTTGAGTAAACTTGCCAGGGGAATGTTTCTGACTAGCTGATTTGTGGACAGGATGATTTGTGGTCACATTTGTTTAATGCTGGGTTTTGAGGGGGGAGGTGATCCCTGCCCGGGCAGGTCACTGCTGTGGTACCAGCAGGTTCACCTGGCATGGCCCTGCCTGGGCTGTTGTCAGCCCCGGTTTTTCTCTCACTCGTCCATTTGGTGTGTTGTCCAGCGCAGGCGCGGGCGGGTTGTGTGTGGGTGCGTGCTCCAGGCTCCTCTCTCTGCTTTGCCCACAGTACGACTACAGCTTCCGCACGGAGCAGAGCGCGGCGGCCCGCCTGCCGCCCAGCCCCACGCGCTGCCCGCCGGTGCCGCCGTCCTGAGGGGCCGCGGCCGGAGCGCGGGTGCTGCCACGGAACCATGCCGGCCTCCGCCGTGTCCCGCCGCCCCCGCACACACCGCTCCACCCCGGGCACCCCGGCCCGTGGGCAGCTGCCCCTACCCCGCTGCAGCCCCTCTCCACGTGAGTACAGCACTGAGGACAGCCCCGTGCTCATCCCCACTTTTTAGCCTGCTGCAGGACAGTCGCAGAATCCAGAGCAAACACAGCCGGGAGCTCGCGGAGCATGGAGAGATCTTGTCCCTGAAAGGAGCAGTGGAAGGCAGGGCTGGGTGCTGCCGTGGAGCTGCTTGGCTCTCGACACCTTGCAGCAGGAGGCTCCTGCAGCACTCAGTCCCGTGCAGAGCTCACCTGCAGTGAACGCCAACCCTCTGCCACGGTCTGGGCACAGAAGTTCCACTGTGGCTGGGATCAGTCTCACAACCACTGTGGTCACTGGATTTGCTCTAGGCTGGGGGAGCCAAGGCCCCTGGCTCTCCCTGGGCACTGCAGGGCAGGCAGGGTGCCCAAGGTGCACTGTGGGTCCTGAGATGAAGCACCTTTGCTTTGCACTGGGTGTCCATACGGATCTAGGGCAACAGCACCCTGCGTTTCTTTCTGGATGGATGCTGGCAGCGACACCCTGGCAGTGGCCCACTGACCCCTACGGACCTGCTGACAGCTGGGATGCCATCACCTGCCCGTCGTTGAGACAGTTCTCTAACATGTTCCTGCTAGCTGCTGAAACAAAAGAGATGTGCCTGTTTCCTGGGCATTGATGGGGAAGCACTGAACACTGACGTGGCACAGGATGAGAGTGGGTGCATTAAGCCCTGACCTCTGCCTCCCTGTGATCGCTGACCAGGCTTGCTCCCAAGCCAAGCGCATGTCTTGGAGAAGTCCTTTGCTGTAATAAGTTATTTACAAGTGCCCATCTGACTCTGCTGCTCTTTCAAGTCTCTGCTGTAGAACAAAGTTACATCATGGCAGCAAAATGGCAATTTTGGAGTAAGAGTTAAAGCGTACAATTTTTTGTATTGTAAAATACTGATTCCCTGACCCCACTGAAACGCAATTGCCATGGTAACAGTAACAGTGCTGTTGCTCTCAGCCTGGGTCATACATGTGCCCTGACCGACTTTGCACTCCCTTGGATTGATCTGGCATTTGCTAGTTGCACAGATTGGTAACTAACAGCAGTTTTTGTACTGTCAGCTAATATTTTTTATTTGTACATAAGTCAAATAATTCTTGTCCAAAGATTCATTTCTGGTTTTAAGGCACCACACTGTACTGCTGGGATAAAGAGCACAAAATACATTTGGGACAAACTGAGTCCAGATCTTTGCTTCAGCTTCTTCTGATCAGGTAAATAATTTTCTGGAGCTGTGTCTGTAGAGTGGCCATGTGCTTGGAAAGCAGAGGCCAATTTGGTTGCATGTACGTTGTTTCTGGGCAAAAGAGTTAAAGCTGTGCACCAGCTCTGGAGCCCTTGGGTGACCCCCTGGAAGTGCTCGTTTACTTGGAGCTTGCACCACCATTTTTAGTTGTTATTTATCCTGCAGTAAAGAAAAGCCAGACCTCACTGCCAGGCTTCACAAAGGCCAGATTGATGATGCCGACATCGACAAATGAACATACCATGGCAGCTTGGTCATTCGGCTCAGGTTCACTTCAAGTTCAAATCCACTCTATGCCGTAGTGCTGTGCCCATCTCATCCATCTTTTGTCTTCCTATTTTTCTGCTTGTAATTTGTTCTGTAGTTTTCTGTGACATCCATTTATAGCTTCTCCCGTGGCTCAGTGGTCACGGCAGGTAGGCAGGAGCCATCTGCAGCAGTGCGTTCCTCATAGCCTTGGGATGGGGGCTGACCTTCCCTGTTCATGGTGGAGGAACAGGGCCCAGCACAGTCTGCAGAGCTCCAGGGGCAGTGCCTGCACTGGGGGATTGAGGGGCAGCTGCCAGGAGCCCCTCCTGGAGGGCAGGGCTGCAGCAGACGGGGCTCAGCAAGGAGCAGGTTCTGAGAGCTGCTGAGCCCCACGCTCAGTGCCACACTCCCTGGGTATGTCTGGGAAAATGGGTGCAGAGCTTCAGGTCCCTTATGTAAGAGAAAATCTGTGCTTTAGTATTTATACCAACTGCTAGGTTTGCTCAGCTTGCTCTGCAGTGACCTACAGGAAACACTGGATACTTGAAACACTGGCAGGATACGCGACTGGGACAGGCATCTACATCTTCAGGATATATTTGTATACTTACTTCTCCCTCTCTAACACTGGGCCAGCAAAGCTGCTTCAGGACTTGCCTGCAAAGAACCTTGAGAGATGAGTTTGCTCTCCATGGTGTGGTGCTGCACCACAGCGCTGCAGGGACAGCCTGGCTCAAATGCACAGACAGGACAGATGCACTTCCCGTGGGGCAAACACCATGAAGGTGTTTTGAACAAAAAGCTGCACCTGCTGAGAGCCAGCTGAGCTCTCAGGCCTCTAACCACAGGCTGGAAAACTAGGTGATTCCAAAAGGGAGAGAGCTCAGAGCCAGTGCGTGGAAGCACAGCAAGGCACAGTGCAGGGTGGTTGGCTGTGTCAACTTCTCAGTCCACTGATCAGAGGAAGCTTTTTTATTGCACTGCTGAATTCCCGAGACCAGGGCTGTCAGGTCAGCATTTCCACTGGAAGGTTTTATTGGCTGCTCCATGACTTTTGTACTCACGGCAGCTCATTGCAAGGCTGGTCCTTGAATCCTTACAGTGAGTCCTCTGTGCTGGCATGTGCCATGGCCAGTACCAGCATCTCTGCACTCCCTGCCCGAGAGGTGACTGTGGAAGACTTGGTCCAGGCAATAAACATGCAGGGAGTCTGATGTGGATGTTGTCTGGCTGAGGAGAAGCCTTCTGGAGCGTAAGGGGAGGGGAGGAGTCAGTGGAAAGCAACAGAAGTGAATTTGCAGAGCTTTACCAGATGTTGTTGGCTACCTTGCCTGAATTTGTAGAACAAAACCGGTCTCTAGGTAGTTTAATCTTGTGGCTGATGGAGAAGTTAGTTTGCCAAATTATTATACATCTGCAACAGAGACAGAAAAGCAGCAGTGAGGGGTTTGCTTACTGTAAAATATGCCTTCTGATGTGAATTCCTAGTGACACGCTGCCTCCTGGATTCCTCACAGCAAGAAGCTGGTCATGTGCCAAGGTGACTCGTGGCCACCCAGGCCAGGCTGTGCTGTCTGCTGTGTTGATCATGGAAAGGCAAGAAGTTAGTCCAGAAAGTGATGTAGAGTGTGAACTTTGTGATAAAATTCAAGTGTGAATAGTTGTAGCAGGTGTCTTCCTTTACGGGAGCGCCTCGTATCTGTAGTTCATAGGAGTAAACTGTGTCAGACTTTTCCTGTGACTGTCCCTGCGTGTCCCCGCCGTGTTTGTTGGAGGTTTCCTGGGAGCCTCCTGTGCAGTGGGAGGTTGTTGGTAGTCTGTAGCATTGGGCTGTTTGGTTTCACACCCACCACTGCTCCCTCAGTGCCCTGAGCTCTCCAGACTGAACCCACATGCTGCCGAGCCTGGAGGATTCCTGTCATGGGCCCTGCATGTGCCAGGTAGGTGCTAGAGGCAAGGGCATGCCTCCACGGGCCCTGGCACCTCTGCTGTGGGGCCCTGGAGTGTCCTGGCAGGAGGGGGAGCGGGACAGAGCTGGCTGGCCCCTGCTGGCCTTCACCTCCCTGCTGCTCCCCAGGTGCCTGTGTGTCCCCAGGTGTGCCACGGCAGCCCAGGAGCCCGCAGAGCTGTTCCTGCTCCTCCCAAAGGAGGAGCCTCGCTACACCCAAATGATTACCTCAGCCCTGGAGCCTGGCCCAGCAGCTGGACCCCCCAGCAGCGGGGCAGCCCAGCCTTAGCCAGGGGCAGAGGCTGCTCCTCTGCTCACAGACAAGCTCTGAGGTGCTGCTCGGTTCATTCACCACAGGGAAACCAAACACTTTGGATATTCTGGTCGTTTGTTGTGAAATTGTTTCCTAACAGCAACAGATTTAGATGTCATCATACAAATGGCAGAGGAAAACCTTTTATGCAGTTGCAAGGTGGTTTTCTAAGATGGTTGGGTTACTGAAAGTGATTTTACTGTGCATTAATCTTATGAATGTTACTATGTTTTATATTTATTTTAGATGACCCTCCTGTATTTTACAAAGGGAAGTTTCATTGTGTGATAACTCTGTCTGTATTCTTAATATAATTTGTTAAATGAAAATTGTTTTAATCAGATAACTCTGTGTATTTTTGTGTTTTGATTTTCTGACTGAAACAACTACCTGGATCAGAAGAGTGAACTACAGAGGTGGCAACACGATCCCCTATAGGGAATGTGCTCTTGTTGGTGGACTTTTTTTCCTTGGAAATTGGATATAAAAAGCCTTGGAAAATGCGTCCAAAATGTCTTGCTCTACAGGTACACTGCAAAGTCAAACCAAACTCAGATGCCGTGTTTTATGGGCAGGGTTGGGTGAGGCCTGGCAGGAGCAATCCTCAGCACAGCGATGGTGCTGGCAGCAGTGAGGGCAGCGCTGCCTCCTGGGCCCAGCCTGTGCCACGCTGGCAGCAGTGCTGCCTGGTACCTGCAGGGCTGGGGGAGAGGGAAAGGGGCTGCTCAGCCAGGGGGAGGCTAATGCGGCACTACACTGAAAATTGTTTTTCTTTGTCCTAAATTATTATTCTTCTGAACTTGACCCAAGCTAGTGGTGCACAATCTGACCTCTGGCATCTTCTCACCCCAGACAGTATTTCTGTCTCGCTTATTTTGAGTGCTCTTTGAATTAAGGGAGATTAATACCCAAGTTCCCGACATTCTCTTCAGGCACATGTTTTTATAACCTTTTGAAAGCAGTACCACTTGTTCCACAAAAAACTCAGAAGCAGCATCCTGTGGCTGCCGTGGGAGCTGTCACCGGCACCTGATGGAATGTCCTGGCTGGGGAGGAGGGGTGTGGGGAGGACACAAACCAGAGTGGGCCCATCCCGTGCCCAGCTGGCTCCGTGGGCAGCGGGAGCTCTGCAGAGCCAGGGCTGTGCTCTGGGCCTGCCAGCCTCCCTTTGCTGCCACTGCTGCGGGCTCAGTCCTGTGGCACAGCACACCCCGTGCCTGGGAATGCTTCCAGGCCTGGCCAGGGGAACCCCAGTCCCCAGCACTGGGCTGGAGCTGGCTTACATCCATCATTCACGGAATTCGGTTTCGAAGGAAAATCTCTAATTTCTTTTGCTCTGCTTGGTGCTTTGAGACGTGGGGGCAGTGGATGCTCTCTGGAGAGGTGTCTTGTGGCCATCCCTGCCCCAAGGAAATCCTCCCAGTGCCTGAGGGGAGCAGCAGGGGCTGGAGGCGGCTGGCACAGTCCCTGTGTCATCAGAGGGTTCTTTCGGGCTTTGTGAGCCGGTGGCTTTGCTGGTGTTTTGTTTTCTTTTCTCCTCTCCCTCCTACAGCTTTAAAAATTAACTTGCCTGGGGAGTTTCTCAAAATCCTTTCCTTTCTCTGGAATGATGGATAAGCCATGTAACTGATTGTCATGGCCCTAGGGAGGATAAACATCTTCTGCAGTTTAAAATAAAACCTCCTCGCTCCTTGGTTAATAAGTGTTGAAAGAAGCACAAACAGAGCTAACACGGGATTTCCATGACTAACAAGATGACCACATCAGTGAATGTTGTTTGGGGTTAAAAATGACTCAGCTTTTGCTTCCCCTGGGTAAGATGTTTTATCCCAGTGCAGGAAAAGCTGCCAACAGCACTTTGAAGCTCTGGCAAACATGATGGAGCCAGGATTGTGAACTGGGAAGTGTTTGAATGCCGGGTTAAAAAAACCCTCATAAACTCTGCTCCATGTGTGCGGATTTCTGGAAGATAAAGGAGCCCACAGCTTCATCCAGCTTGTGCTGACTCTTTTCTTTTCAAAAGCCTTTTCAGATGTTTTCACTTTTCTGCTTGCTTTGTTGAAAGATGTAAAAATTTAAGACAACCACAAAGTAAACATTTCAAAACTTTCTAGTCTGAAAATTAGTGACATTTTCAAAATCCCTCAAATTCCATTTCAGCACTATCAGAAATGAAAATGTTTGGAGTTTTTTTGATTGGCAAATTTTCCAGGCAGGTTTTTGTTTATTGATAACTTTTATTTTTCAAAGAAAATAGATTTATTATTCAGTAGAAACACTAGATAAGTAGATGTCTTGTCAAAATCAAGCAGGTTTTCTTTATTAGAGTGAAATAGTAATGAACTCATCTGCTTCCAATATTTATAAAGAGTAGGGAAGGCCATTAATTCTGCTGCTTGTGAATAAAACCATCTGTGATTTCTTTCCATTTGATGTGTTTTGGTTTTAATATACATTTTTCACAAATAAGTGTAGGGATTTTTTGTGAAAATGTCACATTCAGAATCTCATAAAGAAGGAACGCAAGGAGGGGGAAACGAAATGTTTTGTTAGCTCAGTAATTTCTCACCTTGCACAGAGAGTAAAATTCCTGCCAACTTTAACACATTAGGCGACAGAATTACATGTTCGGCTCTAATGCAATCCATGACATGGAACAAGGCAAACAGAGGATGTTTGGAAGTTTGTTTTCCTTTGGGAATCACACAGCACATTTAACTTAATCTGTCCTGACACTTGAATTATAACATGAGCTTCTTTAGGGAAGCAAAATGGTAGATGCCTCTTTTTAAAGCAAAGCAGAAGTTAATAAAATGGGCAACACGTCGAGGAGAAAAGCCCTGATGAACCATCATGCGATTCTCAGAGCAAATGGGCTCTACTCTGGGCTTTTTCCACTAGAAATGCTGGAAACCTTGAGACATCCTTCTGCTGAGGCTGAAATGTGACCTCTAGAATTTTACTCGATTAAAGCAAAAGCTACAAGAATGCCCCAAGTGAGACCACTTTGTAGCCGGACTTGTGAGTGTTCGATCTTAAATTAAACTGAGTATTCATCCAGCTGCTCTGCCAGGATTTATGTCACAATCTCCCCAGCAGCTCGTGCGTTGGAGCCTGTGCTGTGCTGCAGCTTCCTGAGCTGTACCTGTGGGGGAGAAGGAGTGCTCCTGCTCCCAGCCCAAGCACCCCCGGGGCTCTCTCCAGGGCCTGTAATGGGAACGGGGCTGTCACTGCCATCTGCTCCTCTGAGTGCTGCTTGAAAAGGTTGGCTCAGTTACAGATTTTGAGGCCCAAATTTGATGACCGTTGTCCAACAGGATCAAAGCAGATCCTTGGAGGTTCCTCTGAGTGAAGAAACCTGAAATCAAGTAGCAGATGTCCTCACCTGAAGCCCAGAACTTGAGGTGCTGCAGAGGAGGGCAGGTACTCTCCTGGGGAGAGAAAGGCAATGCCAGTTTTATCACTGAAAAAATGAGTGAGCTGGTTGTTTCTCAGCTACCTGTTGGCAGAGATAGGAGAGGGCTGTGCTCTTCTCTTGGGAGTTTTCACACCTGTGCCAAGCAGGTAAGTCTGCTCACTGGTTTGCTTGTACTTTATAGTATTTATCATTTATCATTTGATTTGGTATGGAATAACAAAGATACTAATTTGTCCCAAACATTTTTCTTCACCAAATTGAACAGCACTGTCAGCTGGACAAAGAAACAAAATTTCATTTTCAGCTTTAAAAAGCTTGACCAAGTAGTTTTCAAGCACAGCCTTGGGGCAGGCTTGGGTGGGTTTGCAGGAGTTCCACATTGCTGGTCTGGGCTCAGCCCCACAATGGGCACTGGGCAGGGATGCTCTCCCCCAGAGATGGACGCATGGTCCTCTGTGGGCCCCCACTAAGACAGAAGCATCAAAATGGGGCTTTAAATGCCAATAAGGAAAATTCACACTGGATATGAAGAGAAGTTCCTGCAGGGGAAGCTGGTGAGACCTGGGAGGTTGGTGAGTCTCCGTCAGTCTCTGCCCAGTTTGTGTCGGGAGGGGGAGGAGAGGCTGAACCTCAGCAGTGCCCATGAGTGGGTCCTGCTTCCCCTGCTCTGCAGAGCTACTGAAGTGTCAAGAAAACAGGGAGCCCAGGAAGCCATAATGCTGTAAGACCATTTCAGCTTAATTCCCTGGCAGGGGAGTGCTCCCACCAGGAGTGTTTGGCCACGGTCCTTATTCAAACACAAGGCAAGGAGCCCGTGGTGGTTATTTCCTATTCAATAGTGTCCCACAGGAGCATGACAGGGGTTGATTGGGATGCATCAGGCAAAAAGCAGAGGGCATGGGGTGAGCAGAGTGGGGAGAGGGAGAGCAGGAGTGACCAGGATGTGTGCCAGAGATGGTGGTGGTGACTATTCTGTAGTGACCAACGAGTTCCCCACTGCTCAGGGGAAAGCTGTCATGTCCATGGGCTGGGCCAAGGGCTGGCAAAACCCAAGGAGTACCCATCTGGGGATATGTGAGGATCAGTTTCACGAGCTCTGGAGGCCACAGAGGTGGCTTCCTGTGACTGACTTCTCTGAATTGCACAAAGACTTCCTGTTTTTCCAGCACATAACTCTGTTCCCACAGTCCCCAGCAATGACCTGTCATGGGTGGCAGAAGCCAGTCAATGGACTCAAAAGCCCTTAATGCAAGTATTTTCCATGTTCTAACTCTAAATTCCTTTTTCTGTCCAAATTCCTACTCATATGAACCTTTTAGGAACTTAATTATCCTTGAGACTTCTACCTCTCTGTGAAATCTGGTTTAAATCAGTAAAGAAAAGAGTTCAAAGTTATTGGGCAGGACAGGCAGACAGACAAGCACACAGGGATCACAGGAACCTTGTTTTCATAGGAAACTAGATTAAAAAAATCCCACAGCAGTTTCCAGCCCCTTTGGTGGCACGCCTGCCTCGGTCCCGCGCAGGGCGATGGTCAGGGGTGCTGGGGCACAGGCAGCTGGGTTTGTGCTCTTTGGGAAGGGGAGGGGGCTGGCACCAGGCAGCTGGGTGTGTGCTCTTTGGGGAGGGGAGGGGGCTGCTGGCAGATCCCGTCTCCTTCAGCCGGGCTTGGCTGGGCAGTGGCGCTGGCAGCAGCGATTCCGCAGCCTGTCTGCTTCTCCCAGCTGGATGCAGATTCATGACATCCCTGCTCGCTTTGGCATGCAAACCTGTACCTAATTTCTTCTGAAATGGGCCCTGAGGAAGTCAGCAGATGTTATTATTAAAGCATTGAGCATCAGCAGCTCCCGAGATATTGTCAGTCTGTTAATGAGCTGATCAAACTGGGGAATGCAAGGGCTTTCCCTACTTCTTAATAAGGAAAATAA